TCTCATCATGTTGTTTCCGGTCCAGAGTCATAAGGCTCCCAGGTTACCTTCACAAGCAGTCTCTGAGCCATAAATACCTGAAGCAGTGAGCTGGACCAGGCATGGGATAAAGGAATATGAGTTCAAGGGATGCCAGTAGTGCAAAAAATGCAGTGGCATGGAGCTGGAGCGGAAAGGGCGGAGGGAAATGGCAAGGATGACAAACTGATAAAATAATTGATAACACCCCCACCACCGCCACCTCCAAACCAGGAGCTGTCCTCTAAGGAATGGTAGTCTCATTTTTCAGAGCAGCACCTTCTTGCCTCCTCCCTTCTTCAGAGAATTCGGGAGGCATTTCTTACCAGTAGAGCCATCGCAGGGAGTGTGGGCCCTCCCTGTGCCCCCATGGACACTGCCACATCCAGAATGCAGCAGAGCCAGCCTCCCCTGGCATGGGTGCCCGGGATGCCCGCTGGCTCCCTGACGCCTCCTGGGTGGATGGGCTGGATTCAGGGTTACCACACCCTGGGGAATTGGTGCCCGCCGGGTCCCGAGTCCTTCTTCCCCTTGCTGCTTAGGGAGAGCAGGTTCCTGCTGGAACAGGCTCCAGGGCTCCTGTTCAGAGTAGGGGAGCCAGGGAGCTACATCCTGGGAGGCTGCTCTTTTGGATGCAGCCCCGTGATGTCTGCAGGAAGGCCCCATACGGTACTTTATAATCTGTGGCCCACAGGGCTTTTTCTGCAGCCAAACCCCAAGCTTGCTGGGCTGTGGGTGGACATGTGTTCTGTGAGTGATGAAGGGGGCCAGTCACCCTTGCCCCTCAGCTCCCATGACTGAGCTGCCTGTGCACACACGCCCTAACCGAATTCAGCCAAAAATGAACCAAGTTAGCTTAAACAAAGGGCAGACTATCTGAGAGAGCCAAGTGTGCTTTGAAATCTTGCTGTCTCCAAAGGAATGGCGCTGCTGGCACCGCTTGCCTCTTTCCTATGCCTTCCTGCCACCTTCCTTGTGCTAGGTTGAGCGCTTGTATGATGAGCTGGACCAGGCTGTTGCTCCAGCTGAAAAGTAACCCTATCGAAACAAACAAAAAAAAAAAATCCAAACCCTGATGACACATCCTCAGGGTTGTAACAGGAGGAGCCGTGACCTGCCAGGCCTGGACCCTCTCTCCCAGTAGCCCAATTCTTGCATTTACAGATGAGCTTTTGGGGCTATATTCCCACCATCTTCCCAGCTCCTGGAGACCGTACTGAGAAAGTCCTGTTGGAGGAGGATAGCAGCGGGGCCCACAAGAGGAGCTGATTCCCCCATTCATATCATCCCTATGCCTGACAACCTGCCTGCAAACAGCTAAATCTGGCCAGACTTGCTGTGAGGACGATCTGCATCCGGATTTGGGTAAATAAACTGCCGGGTGTGAGCGCTGCGGTATGCCAGGAATGCGGTAAACCCTTCCTGAGCAATTGCCTGAAGTTTATGGGAAGCAGGAGAGGGTGGGGAGGAAAGCCAGGTACTGGGTCTGATCCCAGGATTGTCCAGGCTCTGCAAGCTCCCCAGGCACTTCCCTGTTTCTGCCTGCCAGGGATGGAGCGGGGTTCAGGTCCTGTCATGCAGGAAGCCTGGAGCCCCACTGGTGTAGCCTCTAGCCAGCACTGGAATAAGGACATGGACCTAGCTGGTGAGATTCGCTATCAGAGCTCCTAAATGGAGGAATACCAGATTGTAATCAAATACAAGCTAACACCACGCAATGGCTTGGCATTCATCTGTGCTCCCACGGGTGTGCTGCGTGCCTCCTTGGCCCAGGGACGCTTCTGCCCATGGAGACGCAGGAGGTCAAAGGAAAGGCAAAATAAGGAGTGCTGTCTCTCTGCTTGGCTAGGAACAGAGAAGAGACAGCTGCCAGGCTTTCTCCTCCTCCCTTGATGGGGTCTGGAGGGGCATTGTCCATCCACAAAGGGGTTCTCGCCCACCATCCAGTCAGTGTGACACCACAGTACGTGACCCATCCAGGCTGATGGGACCAAGTGCTATCCAGCAGCAGGCTCCAGGCTCTCAGAGCCCGAAGGCAACAGGAGGCACTGGCTTAAGGGGGCTGATGGGTCTGGGGTCCACTTCTAAGCCCCATCGCTGACCCACTTCTGGCCATCTTTAAACCTCGTTACCCCCACTCTGATGCCCTCTGGCCCAGGAGAAGCTGCGAGGAGTACAAATCAGGCTTCCTGCTTACTGCTGCCCTGTGCACAGACTGTCTCTGGTGGGTATCCTCTCCAGGGAGCATCCATCTCTATCCCCCAGCTGCCCAGGGGCCATTCAGTCCTCAGCACATATCCCAGCCACCTCTCCACTCTCCCTACCCTGACGTTGGAGGGAATATGTAGCCTGGAGCCTGGTACTGCCTTGGCTCCCTTCCTTCCCACAGCCTCTACCTCTTCCGACACTTGTTTTCAAGGGTGTTTGGATGGCCTCCTGGCACATTTCCAGCTTCAGCATAGGCACGTGACTCCCCGATGACTGGAAATGTCCCCACCTTGCCCAAAGCGACCCCCCACAATGGAGCACACCGTGACAGGAGAGGAAGGGATGTTCCTGCAGCCCCAGGCTGGGCACCTAGTTCTCTCCATTGCTGGCCCTGTTGTCTGGAAAGGGGTAACTCTGAAACCCCTTTGCACTTCTGACATTTTTAGAGGCTGTACAGACCTGCCCCTGGCAGCTGGGGGGAGCAGCAGGTTGGAGGAGAACCTGTACAGAGGTCCTGCCATCAGGTCCTCTCCTAACACTTAAAAGCAGAACATTCAAGACAAAGAACAACCAAACCCCCTTAAACTAGTTGATGAGTCCAGCACTGGTCTCCTACCAGGACTGCAGTTACTGGGCTGCCTCAGTCATACTTTCAAGGGCATGTCCACCTTTTTTGGCTCAAGGGAACAGATGAGAAGCCAACTGCTTTCCCTTTCCCTTTTTGCTTTGTGCCCAGGGTCTTGTTCCCTCTCTGCAGACTGGCCCAGAGCAGAGGGGAACTTGCTTCCCTGCTTCCAAAAAGCAGGAGGAGCCATGGACCAAAGAGGGATCCCTGTTAGGAGCTTCTCACCTCTCTGGGCCTCTCTCTAACCCACTCTTATGGGGATGGAAACCTAACTTGAAGCCCCAGTAACCCTGAACTTCCAAGCTACTCTCCTTCTAGCCTCCCTGCCGCTGCTCCCACATGACCTTAGAAATGAACAACCAAGGCTTCTCACTGTTGCTGCTTCTGCAAGAGCCACAGGTGCCTAGTAAGAGCAAACCAGTAAGAGGTGCCCAAGGAGCGGCGGTATGTCACACCAGATTGGAGATAAGTTCACAAGAGGGAAAGTCAGCATCACTGTTCCGCAGGACTGTGCTGGGATTGGTGATGCTCAACATATTCATAAGCCATCTTACAGAGAGATGAGAGCCAGCAACAAAGCTTGGTTTTTATGCAGTGATCTGCGTAGTCAGAGCTAAAGCCAACTGCAGAATTGCATAAGATCCGCTCCTCAGGGATGGCATGATAAAACCACAGGGGAAATGAGCAAAAATGTAAAGTAATGCACAAAAGGGAAAGCCCCAACCCAGCTGTCTGTGCGTGCAATGCCTTCAGATAGACTCCTAGCACCCAATAAACAGTTTGGAGAATCCCCATGGAAGCTCCCTTGGAAGCATTAGATCTGTAGCTATTAAAAAAAAAGAAAAAAAATTAAACGATAGCAGCAAACAGAAGAGGATCATAGGGGAAAGACGGGGGAGCATCATTATGTTGCTATATAAACCCTGAGGCAACCCCAGCTTGAATACCAAGAGCGTTTCTGGACTTCCCCACCTCCAAAGAACCAAGTAGCACAAGAAAGGCTTTGAAGTGGCTGATAAAGATGTGGAATGGCTTCCGGACCAGGAAGGACTTGAAGAAGCATCAGCTGAGGGTCCCCATGATTCTTGGAAACTAGCTGAGGGGACCCCTGCTAGGAAAGCAAGAACAGTTCTGGGGAGGAGGACAGTGATGTAGTGTTGCAAGGTTTGCACGTTTGCATCTTCAGCAGCCAGCTTGGCACTCCTCAACCTGTAGCTTTGACTTCAGCCCTTCAGCCCTTTGGAGATACAGCTGCTACCCATAGTGTGCCCTGGAGCAAAGGGGCCCAACCTACCCATTCCTACTAAATGAGGACAGGGTCAATATCTACTAGAGCATTGACAGCCTTTTCCAGACTCAGCGCAGGGGCCAGCAAGTATGAGAGGGCCAGACACTTTAGGAAACTACATTTATCGTGTTTCTGCACAACCTCATCCTTCTCCCATCGAGGTGGCTTCCCAAAGGAATTTTGGAGGAGATTTTAATCACCTACCCCACACAGCTGAGCCTCAAATCAATGCCCTGAGGAGTCCAGAGCACCTTTTGCTGCAATAGGAAGGGGGTACCTTGCTATGCTGAAAGTCTCAGCCCAGGAAGAGAGGTGGGGAGATACAAGTCTGCAGCCCCCAGCCCTGGAACTGCATTTCAGCTAGTGGATCTCCCCTTCTGGACCACTTTTCTAATGCATGAGGCAGTTCTCCCTGTGCTGCAGATGCTGCTCAGCATGAAGGGCAAAGTACAGAGGCTGGCCCTGGCTGTTGGTACCTTGAAGGAGGAAGGGCTTCCCAAGGCAATGCTGCAAGGTTTATCACCATTGCCCGACTCCATCTCCATCTCCAGCCCCCTCTTTAGATGCTTCGGCCAGCCACCACCCTGCCTTAAACAGACCATACCTCTGAGTGGGTGCTTGCCTGCAAGGCCTTCATGGCACACCAGGAGCAGCCAGGCAGCGAAGCAAGCCCTACGCCTACAGACACCAAGCAGGTCTCTTCCTTCCTCAGTCCCGTTTCCAGGGTCCCTAAACCCCAATGCTCTTTCCCACGAGCCGAGCCCCTGCGTTGCCCCATCTCACTTGTGCAGTGTCACGTGGGAAAAGACTACCCTTGGGTCAATATTTTTTTTTTTTTATTAAAATATTGTTATACCAAGTGGAATGCTACAGCAATCTCGGTATAGGGCGGCATAACGAAACAGCCAGGTTTACGTTTAAATACTTAAGATAACTTAAAATGCACAAACAAGAACTCATTGTCTTTGGCAGAAAAAAAGTTCACAGCACGAAAAAATACTTAAAAAGAAATACCAATATTAATATAAAATATATTAAGTTGTTTTTTTCCTCTTTCATATTTTTTTTTGTTTTCCACTTTGTAAACAATGCACAAGAACCGAACGCATTTTTTACGTGTCTAGGAGAGAAAATAAAAAATGCAGTTGTCCAGCAAATGCATAGATGTTTAAAGAAGAAAGAAAAAAAAAATACACAAAGGCCAAGGCTGGAAAGTATCCGAGTTCAGAAGACTGAGAAACTCTCACTAAAATCAAAGTTGGCTACTGCCAGAAGCCAGCTGCCAGTAGACAAGGGAGGTATGAGGATTCCCAGTGAGAAGAGACCAGGCGTAGCTCGCAGATCCAGAAAAGGGCGACACATCCCACCCCAGCAAAATCAGACATGCTTGTTTCGCTTCAAGAGTATTTCATCCCCGCTTTCAATCAGATTTCTCCTCCACCTCTTTTTTTTTTTTTTTTTTTTTTGGTACAACCACTACCCCATTCCCTCCCTTTACAAAGACAAACCTGTCAATTGAAACATACCTAGGACTCTTCTGAAAGCTCCTTCCCAAATCCCTCTCCTTCCCGCAGCTGCACTAGAAACCCAGAGGTATGATGCCGGCAAATAAAGGTTTTCAACTCCTGACCCTGGGACTGCTCAACTTGGCCACATGGATTTGGATGGAGCTCAGTTGATGGAGACTGGCTGCAGATCTCTCCTGGCTCTGCCCCTGCAAAGAGCAGCTCAGAAGCAGAGACGTATCCATACTCGCACAGAGACATTTGGCTCATGGCTACTATTCAGACAGAAGGGAAATTCCAGTCAGAAGAGCCATGGAAAAGCACCCTGAAGGAAACATTTCAGGGGACTCCGAAGGCAGAGATCCAGAGACAGGATCTGGGCAGAACAAAAAAAAGGACCTGAAAAGTGAGGGGGAAGGAAAGATACGCCATGATCAGCAAAGGAGGCTGGAGAGGAGGAAGGGAAAGAAACTGAAATGATAAATATGTTTGCTCCTGTTCTACAAAACATGGATGTATTTACAGGGGGATCATGTCTCCTGGGCTGCAAGCCCTCGTCACTGTACAACTTCCACACACAAACACCTCCAGGGTCTTGAGCGCTCCAGAGCGCCTCTTGTCCTGTGCAGTTCCAGTCCCTCTGGCAGGAGGGGAGGCACGTGCATGCACAGGGCGATGACGGGATGCAAAGTAGTGACTCTGGCCATCCCAGCAGCAAGCCCCACTCCCTGAACCTGGCGGCACAGATCTGCAGCACGAGGGCTGCTAGGGCCATCTGCCAAAACCAGCCTGCCCACAAACGAGATGCCGCTGTCCTCCAGGTCACAGCTTGGAAGGAGAGGACAGCTCTATAACCTCTTCGCCTTGGCTGGCTCCGTGTCAGTGACCAGGGGACTGTGGAGCTGGCCTTCCCTGGCTGCAGAGCACTGTTTTCTTGCAGGAGAGCATGGGCAGGGACCAAGCACAGCTCTGACCACAGCAGGCCATGTGGAGGGTTGGAGGCACGGCCCGGTCCCCTGCCCCGCAGACTGTAGCATACTGACTCCGAACCCTTCTTCTCTCAAACTCCGCCATCCAGGAATTTGCTGCTATGGAGAACAAGTCTCAGCCAGGCATCTGGTGACCTAAGGGCTTCTCTGACCATACAGCAGTCTGTGAGGTTGGAGAGGATAACGCATCTGCCTTGGGTGGCCAGAACTGCCCGTCCTTAAATCAAGATCTCCACCATGTCAGATAGGTCAAGGGCTCTCGCAGCAGCCAAGCTCTCTGCAAAGAAACAAGGTGAGACCATGAGAGCCGTGGAGCAGCAAAGAGAGACGGCCAGTGCCTGCCCTGCCAAAGGCTAAGCACTGTGCCTGCTGCTGGGCCTTTCTCTCCACCCGAGCCCAAAAGGAGGGTGTTGAAGAGAAAAGCTCCACAGAATTCATACCTAAAAAGGTGACAAGTGATTTCAGGAGCTCAGACAGACCGTTTTCAGTTGGGATCTGTAAAATGCCTTAAAATCACTGATGCTTTTCTAAATCCCATTGAAGTTCTCCCAGCAGCTGTCTCTCCCAGACTCCTAAGCTCATGTGCTGGATCCCAGGCCCCCAGTTTCTGCTTGCTCACGCTAGCCAGGCTGCAAAGGGAGAGACTCTGGCCCCTCTCTCACCTGGCCAAAAGGCTAGAGGAGGTCAAAGATTGGTTTTGACCCTGTAATTTTCTTTCTGGATGGTCAATTGGAGAGCACGTTAGCCCAGTAGGAGTGCTTTGGCACAGATTCACAGTCTCAGATCGAAGCTGCAAGTGATAGCAGAGGAAAATCCAGGCTTGCTATCTTCCCTCCTGTCTTTTCCCCTCCACTTTTCCATGCTTCTTCTCAGCTAGTGACTCCACTCTGCCCCTCCAGTGCCGGCAGCATCTCATCCCACAGTACACCTTCCATTAGTCACGGCCATGGGAGGCCAAGCCCTGGTAGCTGGCACAGAGGAACCAGTTCCTTGCTCATGGCTCAGCTATGCAAGGCGCTCGGAGCAGAGTGGGGAACGTCCCCAGGTTTCCTCTGCGCCCAGACCCACGGAGGCCCTGACGGTCATTTCGGGCCCCATCACTTAGCCCCTCATCGGTTCCAGGAGGGACAGCAGAAAGAAGCCAGCAGGACTTACCCAGTGAGCTGGCCGGACACTCAGGCCCCTCACCCTGACTGCTACTCTCAGCCAGGCTGTCCGTCTGCGTGCTCCCATCCTTGCTGCCATGCTTGGAGTGAAAGGGCAGGGGGCCAGAGGTGGGCAATGCTGCTGGCTCTTCTGCTGGGGCTTTGCTGGCTGGAGGAAGATGGAAGAGATGTTGTTAGAGTTTAGGTGTTCAGCTCTTCCATGAGGCCCTTGTGTTTTGCGATGGGTCGCCAGGATCTATAGTCACACTGCTTAGTGGACAAACCCCACCCCCCCGAGAAACAACCCAAATCTCTTGAAGGACAGAGAGTTACGCCCAAAAATGCAGGGGGCGAGGGGAACTTCCAGACAACTCCTTACCGCAAAGCAGAGGCAAGGAGCATGTAGAAACCTCCATTTACCTGCACCTCCTCGGGAGGTACCCTCTGTCAGCCGGTCGCTTGGGCTAGCACCCTGCCAGCTCTGGGTCCCAGAGGCTACAAAAATGGACGGCACGGACTTGGCCGGCCGCAGGGAGCCTTGGAGAGCTTTGCTGGGGTCTTTCCGTGAGCGCTGCTGCAGCACTTTGATGACGGCATCCTTCTCCAGTATTTGGGCGTGAAGGACTTTTAACCTGGAGAGGTCGAGAGAGAGAGAAGTTGAGACAGAGCCGAGGCAGGAGGCTACAGGACTTTACTGGCTGGGGCGGAGGGGGTGGATGATAAAGTCTCCTTTGGACAAAGCCTCATCCGGCCCAGCTGACCTGGCTCCTGGCTAGCCACGGAGAAGCCACACTGGAGACACTCAGTGACAGCACTGCCCAGCCAGATCAAAGAGCAGCTTTTTGGAAAATATTGCACATGAGATAGCACTACCTGTTCTCCATTTCCTGATGCTTGTGGTTGGCCAGGAGGAGGTCCTCGTTGAAGCTGCTGTTGGGGGAGTGCCGTGGGGAATGGCTGATGAGTGTCGTGTCCCGCTGGGCGGCGGCGGTGGCTGCAGCATCCATGGCAAACTGCCGCATGGTACACTCCTCTAGGTACTTCTGCTCCCACTTGGTCATGTCGGCCTCCAGCGCAAGGATCTTCTCCTCCTTCTCCCTCAGCTGCTCGGAGAGCGTGTGGGCGCTCAGCTCCGAGGGCCCCCCACCTGGGGCACTTGCTTGCCTCTGCACCGGCAAAGAAAACCCCCAGAGAGAGTGAGATGGTGCCAGGAGGAGACGCTGCCTGGCACTCACTGCCCCAGCCTCTCT